CTCTTGATAGTCTATCCCATAGGTTTGTGTAAAATCCTTTGCAACAAGTCTAGCCTTGTACCTCTCTATACTGCCATCAGCCTTACACTTGACTGTAAAGACCCACTTACACCCAACTGTTTTCTTCTCACTCGACAAGTCAACTATCTCCCAAGTCTCATTCTTCCTCAAAGCATCCATCTCCTCAATCACTGCTGCCTTCCAATTTGGATCATCTAATGCTTCATGAATGTTTCTTGGCACAGCAAGTTTAGAAATATTAGAAGTAAATGCTCTGAGTTTTGGAAAACTTTTCATAGGAAACATATTTAGAGATAGGATGTTTAGTACAGGCTCGGGTTCCTTTTTTGAGAGCTATTGGAATATCATAATATGGATTGGGTGTTAAAGTAGGAATAGAATAAGGGTTACCTGTAACGGACTCAGTTCCAGTACTTAAGGATTTCGATTGATTTGGTGCAGGGATGGTAGAATGCCCCTTATTTCTCCAGAAGACTTTCTTCCTAGAATAAACCAGAAGATCAGGTTTAGGATTCTGATTTTGATCCTTTAGTAGTGTTTCTTTTTCTATTGGAACAACAACAGATTTAACATTAACAGTTTGGGTCTTCTCCTTGACAAAATCAAGGACAGGATTAAAAGTATCAAAAATCATGTGAGGTAAAGGTTCGGATTTCTCCCAAAAATTGTCTTCATTCATTTCCATTTCCTCCCCCTGAAGGGAATTTTTGGTGAAATAAGGAATATTCTCTAAAAAGGTAACATCCATGGTCACATGGTACTTTTTTGTTTGAGGATTAAAACACCTATACCTCTTTTGATTTGGGGCATACCCAACAAAGACACATTTCTCAACCTTAGGATCTAATTTAGACCTAGATCTCTTAGGTATATGGACATAAGCCGTGCACCCAAAGACTTTAAAGGGTAAATCATTGTTTAGTCTTGAATCTGGGAACTCATTTTTTAGACATTCTAATGGGGTGAGGTATTGTAAAACCCGTGTAGGCATCCTATTGATAAGGTATGCAGAAGTTATAATTGCATCTCCCCAAAGATATTTTGGGACATTCATATAAAACATTATAGCACGAGGAACTTCAAGTAAATGTTTATTTTTTCTCTTGGCTATTCCATTTTGTTGTGGGGTGTCATGACATGAGGATTGATGAAAAATTCCTTATTCTTTTAGAAAAGCATCCAACATACTATTGAAATATTATGTTCCATTGTCAAAACGTAGTATGCTTATTTTTGTTTGAAATTGATTTTCAATCATTTTGTAAAAATTTTTGAAGACACTTTCAACTTCATTTTTTTCTTTCATAAAAAAAATCCAACAAAGACGGGTATGATCATCTATGAATGTTTCAAACCATCTTTTTTGTGAAATAGTAGTAATCTTAGAAGGTCCCCAAACATCACTATGAAAGAGATAAAAAGGTTTTGAGGGACGATAAAGCCTTGGAACATAAGTACTTTTAGCCAATAAACAACTTTCACAATGAAAAACCGTAGGATCAATGTTCTTAAACAATAATGGAAACAAGTGTTTTAGATAGAAAAAACTGGGATGACCCAACCGGTAATGCCAATTCATAATTTGTTCATAAATAGAAGAAGACCTAACACAACTCAAGCCTTGAGCTTTTTTATTCCTAGGTAGATTGTCTTCAAAATAGTAAAGGCCATTTACCATCCTAGCACTGCCAATCGTCATCCCCGAGCTCCGGTCTTGAAAAACACAGTGGGATTCAAGGAATGTAATTTGACAGTTAGAGTCTTTAGATAATTTGCTGACAGACAAGAGGTTGTAGGAAAGTTTTGGAACATCAAGAATAGATTTAAGATCTATTCTTTCTGAGATTTTTATTAATCCTTTACCTGCAATTGACGAGAAAGTCCCATTTGCAATTCTAACTTTTTCATTACCAGAACATGGGATATAAGAATTGAACAAATTTGAGGAATTAGTCATATGGTCAGAAGCACCAGAATCTATATCCATGGTGCTGAGAAGCACAATAGAGCATTCATTCTAGTAATTTCTTTACCCATGTGTGCAATAGACACAGTAGGAGTACTAGATGAGGAATTGGATTTTAGCAGTGTGAGGAGATGCTCCATTTGTTCTTTTGTGAAGGGGCTGGAATCAGTTTCTTTTGTGTTGGAGGCTGCATATCCAGTTTTCTCACCGAGCTTGGATCCCTTCCAATTTGTCAGTTTGCCATGAATCTTCCAACAGGTCTCCCGGGTGTGACGGGGCTTGTTGCAATAATCACACCAAAGCCGAGCTTTGTCTTGACGTTGGTATGTCAGATTTTTGCTCCAGCCATCCTCACTTCTTTATTGATCACCTGTTCTCCGCAGGTACAACTTGCTTGAGTTTTCTCCCACGGCAGCAAGAGCAGATTCTTCCACCACAGCATTCGGCCCCATTTTCCCAGCATCACATTCCTCCAACTCTCCTCCCTCCTACTTCACCAATAGGAGGTAGTGGTTGTCATCCTATGATTCTCCCCCTTCATCAAACTCAATGTTGAGACCTGCAAGAAACTTAAAAATTCGGTTATCCTCCACCACCTTCTTGTGATGGTGACCATCTTCAGCAGATTTTGCATTCGTAGGTGTTGAACAAATCAAGGTCCTGCCATATCCGTTTCAAAGAGTTGAAATACTTAGTGACACTATCCTCCCTTTGTCTTATTTCACCGAGTTTTAGAGTCAACTCAAAAATCTAGGATTGGTTCCCCAAATCCGAATACATCTGATTCACATTCTCCCATAACTCTTGTGCTATTGGATAGCACATATAATTAGAGCTAATGTCTTCCTCCATCGAATTAACAACCATGTCATCGCCATGGAATTCTCGGCATCCCAAGTAGCATATGCCGGATCACTCTCCGTAGGAGCCTTCTTTACCCCAGTCAAGTATCCAATCTTCCCATGACCTTGGATATACATACGAACCGACTGCGACCAACATAGGAAATTATCACCATTTAAACGGATGGTGGTAATTTGAACGGAATGAGACTCCGTTGTTCCTATGGTTTTTGACGGGTTTGAAACAGGGGTGATTTCTGAGGTGGGTTTTCTGCTTGACTCAGTAGAGGTTTTTGACATTGGGTAAGGAAGAGGAGAACCAAAGGAGAAGAAGAAGCATCGGGAAGAAAATAGGTTTGCCCTGATACCAAATCAGAAAACAGTGAACACGGAAGAGAAAGGCAGAGACAAAAAATGTGTGAGGGAAATACTTTTGATTTCATTGTATCATACACTTTATAGGTCATACAATTCCATTAAATCAGAAAACACGATCACTGATTTAAGGAAACAAACAGAGAAAAGGAAACAAGCTAGTTATTCTACTTTCCTAAAATAAGCTAACCAGTCTACTTTCTTAGAATACAAATATTCTTTCTAAGTTTACAGATATTCACAGCTATACACAATCAGCCTATTCATAGTCAATATCCGGCCATAATCTCGGAATATTTTCTCTGATTTTCCACAGTAAACAAAAAAGGGGATAATGGGTCGCCTTGTCTTAACCCCTTTGTAGCCCCGAATCTCCCACATGGTCTCCCGATGTTCATAATTAGACAACCCCGAATCCATTTCCTCCATTTTCTTCCAAAACCTTTCTTTTCCAAAACATAATCTAATAAACACCATCTTACGTGATCATAAGCTTTTTCAATGTCCACTTTAAACCCCAGCTCCTATCTTCTCTTTGTCCGGTATTCCTCCACTGCTTCATTAGCCACAAGCACCACATCTAGAATTTGTCTATCCTTCACAAATGCCCCTTGTGACAAAGAAATAGTGTCACTGGAACTCTCTCAACCTGTTTGCTAAGACTTTGGCCAGAATTTTGTAAATGCTCGTCACCAAACTAATTGGCCTATAGTCTTTTAGCTTCCTTGAGTCGGTCTTTTTGGAATAAGACAAATGAAAGTGTGATTGATTGCTGAACTGACCAAACCATTCCTGAAAAAGTCCTCAAAGGCTTTCAATAAATCCCCTTTCACAATTCCCCAGCATTCTTAAAAGAAACCGCCGAAAACCATCCGCGCCCGGTGATTTGTCCATGTCAAAACTAAAAACAACATGTTTTATTTCCTCCAACCCGAACGGCCTCTCAAGCCAATATGCCCTGACCTCTGAAATTGCACTCCAATCAATCCCTTCAAAACTCCACAAGCTATCCTCCTCCTTAAACAACTTCTCATAAAAGGATATGATCTCTCTCTCAATTTCCAATCTGTCCTCCAATGCTGAGTTATCATCCTTTTCCAATCTTACAATGGCACTCTTGTATTGCAGCTTGTTTTGAACAATGTATTCTTGCTGGGCTCGAGTGGTCAAATAAGAGTTGGTAGGCCTGTCGTACTAGACGGAACTCTTCATGCAGTTGTTGAAGAACATGTGTGACCCTGTTTTCTTTTCCAAAAAAAAAACTTTATGATTATGACAAAGAAACTATATCATTCTATCACAAGAGTGAATCTGGCTTGGCAAAAAGTATGAAACATTTGCTCTGTTAGAGCAATTATCTCAAATTTCACAAATTTTTAGTTTTCTTTCTTTAGATATGAATAAATATTAATGACCTCTAGTTCAACTTACGTGGGCAATGTGAAGAAATTTCTTAGTTTAGCAAAAAGGAAACATCTAATTTACTTTTCTTTCCCCTTTAATTTTCACCCTTCTTTGATGAAAATTTGCAAAAGATAAAAAAAAATAAAAATAAATGACAAACTTGTCCATCCGTATTTGGTACGGATGAAGCGTGTAATTATAATTTTCCTTTCAATTTTTGTTATTAATAATTGATTTTTTAAGTTTTTGCATTCCATTTGCATGTCATTTATATGTATAATATTGCTATACTATAATGGTATCATGTGTTGAGCTTTTGACCAAAGAAAAAATGGCGCGATATCGTATAATGATAGTTTCTGTTCCTTGTGTTTCTCTTCCCTGTGTTGTAGGAATTATGGGTGGGGACCTTATTGCTCATGAAGGGGAGCGCTGTAACATGGATTTTCTTGATCATAACTTCTTAGCAGTTGATAAGGGTGCCATTTTAAGATTCCAGTTCAAGATACTATTTAAATTAGTTTCTTTTAAATTTAATAACTATTTTTCCCTTTTGTTAAAGTTTCTTTTTCAGTTTAATCAATTTTTTATATGTTTCTTGAAATACTTTTTCTATGCGCTTATTCCTATCAAAAATAATTTTTACAAATGTGTCCATATTTAAGTATTTTTTCGTTGCAATTCATTCTACTTCCTCCACGTGATCAATGTTTTGTTTCCGGTTTTTTTTTCCAGCCTTATTTATTTATTTCTTTCTTTTGGTCCTCCCCTTTTTTTTATTTGCATCCTTTAATCCTTCATTTATGTTTCTTCATATATACCCCATAAATAATTTTTCTTTAAGTTGCTCCACTACAAATTTTATTTTATTTTTAATTATGTTGTACTTAAATTTTTTTTTTTTAATTTTTTTTACTAAACTAAACTCTTAAAGGAAAAATAAGTAGAAAAAGAAAATTTTAGAAATTTTAGATCTTTATATCTAAACAGATGTAACACGTACGTGCGTGTTTTCAACTAGTACCTACAATTGTCACATTCCATCGCTTTCCAAAATAGTGCCCCCCATTATTTACTTCGCAATGAAGGCATGTGCAAGTTGCAACAATTTTTCGTTTGAGGGACCTCACTAGAAAGATTTTTAATACATTGTACCCAACCAGCAAAACCCATTTCTGTGCTTGACAAAGATGTGATATGTGCCGTAGATGGCCATTTTGTTTCCAAAACCCTTTTTATTTGCTAAAGGTTATCTTTCTTTTTTTAATGCCCGCCTGTATTTTTTTCCCCCCCATCAGGTGAGATGGGGCTATTTTGTATGGCTACTATTTATTCTATATTATAAATGAGTTTTCACGTACTATTCAAAATTTTAACTAAGTTATTTTGTCTTATTCTCTCCCTTCTTTTAAAAAAACTTTTTTTTAGTTTGTCTTTCTCTTTCTTTTTTTTCCTTTTCCTAAAATCATATATCTTCAAATACATATAATTGAAATATTTTTTTAATTCATCACTGTTAAGATAATTTGTTTCAATTTTCAAATATATCTTCAATTAAATTATCTTCTTCTGATCATTTTATTTTATTAAAGAGACCTTCATAAAACTTTTTTTTTTCTTTACTAATCATCACAATAAAATAATTTTCTCAAATACGTTCATATTTGAATGTGTTCTTTCTTCTGATATAGAGATAATTTATTTATTTTTGTTAGTGTTTGTCAAAGAAAATTTTAGGCTATATATCAGAAAACTTGTCTCTCTATTTTTTTTTTTCTTTTGTGGCTTTTACTTGTCCCTTTTGTTAGAATTGTTCAGTGGCCGGTTGAGTCAATCAATGATAGACTGCTAATTCAATCAGCGATTGATCAATAAATTAACAAAAATGGCTATTTTTATAATTTTATTAAACTTCGATCATTTATTAAAAAAATCCTTCAAAAAGGGTCATTTGTGCTGAAATCCCTTAACATAAGCTCAATAGGCTCAAACAATTAAGCTCATTATGTTGAGTGATGCATTTTATACAAATGCTTGTGGGGGCTATGTGTGTGTTAAGGGTGTGGCCATTTAATCTGTGAGGCATTGTGTGTGTGGAGAGGCCAAGTGAGAGGAGAGCTCCATCATTCTCAAGCTTACGGCGAGTTTCGACTGCTTAGCAGCAACATCAACGTTCAGACAGGTAACTCATATTCTTTTTTCTTTTAGAGATGTCTTAGACACTAAGGCTTCGTTCATTTCACTGATTCAAGTTTTCAGTTTAGGTTTCTACAGTAAAAAACTCTCAGAAAATGTCATATCACAGCTCGAATTGAAAACTCGAATCCGCGAAGTGATCGAGGCCTAAATAAGCGTGATTTAGTTTCAGTAGCGTGTGATCACCCGGGTCGAACTTGCATCCCGATTACAGACATTACCCTAGTGTACCCCTTAATTACTTCGGGACTTTTTCCCTTCTCTTGAAAACTTATGAGTAGAGTTTACACCCGACCATATGTTACCATGCATAGTGTTTAATTAGTCCACTTTCCGACATCAACAAATATAATTATCAACTTAGTAAGTATTATTATAGCGAATCATACAAATATGTCACTCAAAAGTTTAATAATTCTTTTCACAAAAAAAAAAAAAAAAAAAAAAATTTCCTGGTAAAAAAAAAAAAAAAAAAACTTGCTGGTATTCCGCATAAGAGTTAAAATTTTGAGAGTTTCTCTGGTATGACCAGAAAAAAAATGAATTACCAATTTCTTATTTTTCAGCCGTCGGTTTTGTATCAAAAATTGTTTATTATGTATATTTTTTCAATCTAATATGATTTTAACTAGATTCAACAATCAACCCTACTGGTAGAGAGATATACCAGGAAAAGTCCCTAAACTTTTTATCAAGTTTTATTAGTTTTACGTATTTTTTATTTTAATATGATTTTTTAATGTAATAAAACTGTCCACAATTATCATGTTCTGGTAGGATATATTTTGTATTCTAGCATAGAAATTCTCCAAAAAAGTGACTGGAGCCATGGTTTGACGTCTGAACTGCAACATTTTTTTTTTTTTTTTTTTTCAATTGAAAACTAGTCTCTATTCATTTAATCATTTTACCTCTAGAAGCTTTAACATTCTATTGTTTGACATAAACCTTTTTTTAAGCCAAACCTGATTTTCTTAAGTAACCAAGTCAAGTCATTAGTCTAATGACATTCATAAAAATATGTATATATGCTCACAATGTACGTGCGAGATTACTAGCATGGCGGCTAACTTTTTGTTTCAAAGTTTGGACAATTCATACCCCAAGTCCAATTTTCTCTTATCTTGAGGAGAAAACAATTATATTGTATATTCCTTATACATCATTGGCCAAGTGACTCTTATGCTAGTACTTATGGTTTATGGCAATGAAAACAAAAAAAGACATTAGTTGTGTTCTAATGTCGACCTAAACTTGTTCCATTCGAAGAATTTGGAGGAAAAGGTAAAAGATTATGTCACTGTTTTTAGGTAAAAGATTATGTCACTGTTTTTCCTTATAAATGCATTGCACATATGACTAAAACTTAGCTCAAACTTGCATGTGTGTGTGTGTGTGTGTATATATATATATATATATATATATATAGTTGCATAAATCAACTTGTGCCCAACTCCTTTCACCGTCATAGCCACCCATTAGAATCAACTTTCCGACACCTCTGACTACTTATTAACTGCAAACATCTCATGCGTAAGTAAATGTTAATCCTGTTTGTTTGTTTTGTTTTCTTAGTGATGAAGAGTTTAAGAAACAGAAGAGGGAGAAGAGACATGAGGAACAATTTTCGCCTTTTACAAATAGTAAATTTTTAACGTGTTCTGTACGTATTACTATGTTAGAGACATTAGAAGAGCTTATTATGAAATAATGATAAATTCATTTATACAACTATTTAAGACTTTTTTTGAATTTATTTTAAAAAAAATCATATTTGTAAAGATAACTTTTGATATGATAAGAATTACACGAAAAACATATAAATAGGAACACATTTGAAGAAAATTATTTTAACTGTTGACAAAAAATAAAATAAGAACACATAAAAAAATTACTTCATAGGAGTAAAATGAGAAAAAAAATATTTTTAAAAAACACACAAAAATTAAAATGTAAAAAAAATTCAAAAAATAAAAAACAATTTAAAGTGAAAAATAGAGATAATAAAAAAGTAAAAAAGGGAAAAAAAGGAGGTAAAAAGAAGGCTGCCATATAAAAAAAGAGTTTTGACTCTTTTGTTTGTTAGATTAGATAGAAAAGACTTTCTTATTTGACCATATCCAACAATTAAAAAGTGATCATAACGATAAAAAGGTCTTACTATAGAAAATATTGAAAAAAAAAAGCATAAAAAGAAGGCCAAATAAGGATTAAAAAAATAAGAAAAAAGAGTATAAAAAGGCTCTTTTAATTTTAACCACATCTAACGATTAAAAACTGACCCTAACAATAAAGAGGTCGTTAGGGATGACAACGGGGCATGACGAAGTCAGAGAATAATTTCTTGTCCCCATCCCCACCTGTCAAAGCGATCTCTATCTACGCTTAAGAAGAGACGTTAGGGTCGGGAATTCCCAGTTAATGAGACCTCCTCATACCTGCCTCATTCTCTATCTAATATAATCATACACTTAAAAATTATAGGAATTTAAAACAAAAAGGTTAAGTGTAAATTTAAATCAAAATCAAATAAGGTTCTATAAAACAAACCCTATGCAAATCAAACTTAGTAATAATGCCACAAAATGCTAATTTTATTTGAAAACTTAATATTGCATAAATATTTCTTATATAGAATATAAATACATTATCACGGCAAAGGTAGGGTGAGGAGTGCTTCCCTAGTCTTCGCCCTTGAGGGACAAGATTTATCTCTATTTCCGTCCACATTCCCACCTCGTTCGAGGTGAATTCCGGTCCCTATAAGGATTATTGCCATCTCTATAGGTCCTATTAGAGAAAGTCTTAAAAAAAACACAAAAGGTATGCCAAATAAAGATTAAAAAAAAGAAAAAAAATCTCATGACGCCATGTGACAACATGAGAAAAGAAAAACTATTTTATGTTTGTTAGATTATATTAAATTAAATAGAAAAAAATCTTTTTATTTTGACTATATTTGACGCTTAGAAACTGACATCAATGGTGATAATAGACAAATGGTCCGTTTAGTTCGCTGATTTGAGTTTTTAATTCGAGTTGAGATGTGATTTTATGTGAGAGCTTTTTACTGTGATAAAAAAGTTAGATGTGACTGTTTGTGAGAACTTTTTACTGTAGCAAAACTCAAATTCTAAACTCGAATTAACGAAATGAACGGAGCCAAAGTCTTAAACCGCCACGTGGCAACATGGGAGAACGTTTAGATATAGATTAGTAGATTTTCCAAACTTATTACGTATAGATATAGATTAGTAGATTGGAAAAATCTACGGAGGGTGAGCCAAATGATCAATAGGGTCAAATCCAATTACTCACATTAGATCTAGGTCCATGTGTTCCCTTTCACGTCTGATTGTAACCAAACAT